TATCACGAGTGCAGTTGTTTAACAATCTCACTGAATCATTTGCGCTATCTCTTGTTACACAATGGGATTTATTTTACCCTCAAAATCTTACAGTTTAGAAAAATTACTAATTGTGGAAAAATAGAACTTAATGTTTGAATAGAACCCTGCATAGTAGAAATATTTAAGTATATTAACAACGTTAAGATTGATAGGCAATCCTAAAAGAAGTATAAAAATTTAAATGAAAATAAATATTAAAATATTAATGTGGATCATGAGCAGGAATAAAATGCTTTTCCAGCTATCCATCATAACATATACTTAAAAAAAAAGATTTTCATATACAGTAATACTTTGGTTTGCGAGCATAATTTTTTCTGGAAACTACTCGTATTGCAAGACATCACTTGTTTACCAAGTTAAAATGTATTAGAAATGTTTGGTCGTCTTGCGGAACACTCGCAAACCAAGTCACTCACAATCCAAGGTTTTACTGTATTTCCTTCAAGGATTCTTTCCTGAATGACCTGAGAATTATCGATTGCTTCCCTTTACCATGCTGGGGTTGCCTACACATGTCTGTATCAGAGATGTGAAAAACAATACACATTCAGAAAAGCACATAAAACATAAATGTACAATTTAGTGACTTACCATAAGCAAATATCCATAGAAGTTTGCTAACAAAGAAGCAGTTCTGTGCCTTTCCCTTTCCAATTACAATTCTAACCTTACACTCCTAAAGGTAAACATTGTCCTGTATTTTTTGGTAATAAATACCTCTTTATAACTTTCATGAGTAAAATGAATTCCTAAACAATAAAGATTTTTTAGTTTATTTTTTTAATTACAGTTGACATACAATGTTAGTTCCAGTGTACAACATAGTCATTATACATTTATATACTTTAGAGGTCACTCTGATAAGACTAGGGCCCATTTGACACCATACACTCTTATTACAATGTTATTGACTGTATTCCCTATGCTGTACTTTACATCCCCGTGAATAGTATAGCATGTATTTTGTGACTGGCTTCTTTTGTTTTATTTTGTGTTTTTAAGGTTCATCCATGTTGTTAGGTATGGCTCTAGTTTATTCATTATTGTTGAGGTATGATATTCTATTGTATAAATATAACAAAATTTACCTGTTTGACTGTAGATGTACATTTGGTTGTTTCTACTGTTTCAGCTATTATAAATAATGCTGCTTTGCATATTCTTGCTCATGTGCACCTATTTCAAGAGTATTCACTTTGGAATGGAATTGCTAGGTCGTAGGATATCCACATGATATTCATTAGATGCCAATTGTTCCCTATTTATTAAAACAATTTATGCTCCCCCATTCTTGCCAGTTCTTGATCTTGTCAGACTTTCAATTTTTATCCATAAGTGTTTAGATGTGTTATAGAATAGTGGCTTTATTTTTCATTTTTGTTATTTCTAATAAGGCTGAGCCCCTTTTCTTACATTTATTGGTCATTCGGATTTCTCTTTTTTTCTAATGGATCTGTTTTAATCTTTTGTCCATATTTATAGTGAGTTACCTATCTTTTCCTTATTAATTTGTAGTCATCCTATATAAATTCTAGATACAAGTTATTTCTAGTTATGTATATTGCAAGTATCTTCTCTCACTTTCATTTGGCCTTTTTATCCTTTAATAATAGTCTTTTCAATAAGTTCTTAATTTTAATAAAATCAAATTTAGAATATTTTTCTAAGCTTTTTTCGTTGTCATACTAAAATCGTTATCTTAAGATATCAAGGTGTTTCTTGTGGTCATCAAGATATTTCCTTGTATTATTTTCTAAAAGCTACATTTCCCATTCTAGCTTCTCATCATCCTTTATGGCTTTTGTCCCACTTCCAGGAAAATGGGAATTCCATCAAATTGATATTTCCAGTTGCAATCCCTCCCCTGAGCTCCAGATCTTTATTTACTGCCGTTTGCCTGACTTTGCTGGCTTGGACACACATTTCAAATGTAACAGATTCAGAAAGAAACTCTTAATTCCCCATACCCAAACCCAGTGTTCCTTCCAAATTTTACTCTCAGTTATTCAGGCTCAAAATTGGGGTCATCCTGACCTTGCCCATTCTCCCAGTCCCTAAATCTGGTCTATCAGAAATTCTGTTGTTTCTCCCTACAAATATTTCCTGAATTCAACTATTTTTCACCATCTTTATTGCTAGCTTCTCAATCCAATCAGTCCCATGTTTTCCCTGGATTACTTTGTCTTCTGACTCATCTTCCTTCCTCCACTTTTGTTCTCTTGTAGGGCTTTCTCTTTAGAGCAGCTAGATAAGTCTTTAGAAAATGAAAAATTGCTCACATGACTTCCTTCCAAAATCTTGCCCTCAAATTTAGAATAAAATAAAAATTTCTTTATATGGTCCACATGCCTATTTTTTCCACCTCATCTAACAACAGTCTCTCACGTTTTGCTCTAGCCGCATTGACTTCTTCCTAGTCTTCAAACCCACACAGTCTGGTAGTCATGTCAGGACTTTTACCCTTGATTTTTCCTCTGCCTGGGTTGCGCTTTCCTTGAAGTTGTTTTGACTAGTCCATAATAGTGCCTGGCACATTATAAATGCTCAAATGCTATTGATAAACAAATGGATGGATAAAAATGAATGACTGCTTAGACGTATGCATTTTTCAGGGGGAAAAAATCTCTTTATTAATGTATCAACTGATTTTTTTTTTAAGATTTTTTGAAGAACTGGGGGAGGGTAACAGACAAGTTGTTGTCCTTTTGTTCTTCAGTCTAGTTGTGGAGGACGTCACTTCACTGGCCCATGTTGGTATTATCATTGTGCTTTTCCTGGGTGAGGCAGTTACTCGCCAACCATTGGATGGCCCATGGCGGCCCATGGTGGCTCATGGCAGCCCAGCTCCAGGTCAAGCTGTTGCTCACCATCTTAGCTGTAGAGGGCAGAGCGTCATTGGCCCTTATGTGGGATCCGAACCGGTGCTCTGCTGCTCAGAGCTGGCATCCAAAGCCAACTTCTAACCAACACGCCACTTGGCCAGCCCTCAACTGATTTTTATTCCATTAGTAATTTCAGTCTAATTTGTATGATTGGAGGTAGGTTAAATGTAGATGTAGCCTTGAAAATGCCCTGTGAGCTCTGTTTGCTTTTGGAATTCTTCAATTTCATTCAGTTGACTTTTTCACCAAAATGGATTTCTATTTAATTTGAATTCTGATTGTTTTGATTTCTTTAGATGATTTGTTTCATGGTTGTGCACCAGATTAAATGAACAAATGAGTGCTAATACTCTGAAATTACTTTCTCACAGAGCTCTACGCTCCCTTAAAACTATTTGTATATCATGGGTAGAATCTTAGATTGAGAGAAACCACAGATGATCTGCTTTTAAGCCTGACCCCCTGTGAAATTTTTCAGAACATTTCTGGAGGAGAGCATACAATTTCTGATTAAATATCTTCCACAATAAGGGACCTGAATCTTCAAAAGACAACTGATTCTTATAGAAACAAGTCACTAGAAATATATGGAGGAAATTACCTGTTTTTCCCATTGGAGATTAATCAAACTAATTGATTAGAAATGGAAAGGACTGGGTTTTGAGATTTGGATTATGTAAATATATGAAAAACATAAAATAAAATCTATTTTGGATCTGTTTGAACCATTTAATGTTTATCAAATTGGAAAGTACGAATTGAATTGTGTACATTCGAGCCTGTGACAGATTTAGATGAATAACCTGATAAATTATTAGCTCCCTTCTCTCTGACCACAGAGTATGTGGCAAATTGGTGCTCTGGAAAACTCACCTTTTGATATTATTATAAAATAGTTCCCCTGAGTCTTCTAGGACCTTTCCCCTTCTTTTATTATCCTGCAGTAAATATCCTACTCTTTATTGTTGCATCCATTGTGTTATATAATATGTTTGTCAAAACCACCATTCTCTGTCTTAAGGGCAGGAGTATGTCTTGTTTATCTGAGTTTTATCAGTGCGTACTAGAAAGCTTTGAATGTAGTAGGGCTCAATACATTTTTTGAAACGAATGTTTTACACTCTGTAATTAAGACCTCCAAATAGTATAAGAAATAATCAGTTGTTTGCTCTAAGCATTCTTGGATAATTCTGACTCTTTCATTAGATTTTAAACGCAAAAGGATTTGTTTTAAACATCAAATATGCACTTTATTTGCTATGTTTTTTTGGGGGGGCGGTGGGAAAGGGCAGTTTTTGTTTTCCATATGCGCAACAGGATTTTCCCTGGTATTTCTCTTTCTGGCACTGAATTAGGGTGCTAGAAATTTTGTGCCAGAGTTTTTAGAATGATTTTTTAAGAACTGAAAGAATTTATAAATCACTGCCCTTTCCTAAATAGTCAGAATTCCTTTCATGGAGTTACTTAGCTGTCAGGAAAATAGAACCCAGCAGTACATAAAAAAAATAATAATAATAAAATTTAAGAAAACCTCTTAAGTGTTCTGGTGTTCAACTATCTCTTCATAAAAAATATGCACGTTTGCTAAATAATATTTTTAATACATTGAGTTCACTATTTTCTGCTAAATAAGTACTTTATATAGCTTTCAATCTAAGGGAATAAACAAAAATATGTTTATGATTATGTGATGGCACACGCACACACCTTCTCACAAACACCAACACAGGCACAAAAACCCACTCCCCTTGCTTGAGGCATACTCTAAATTACCAGGTTAATGTTGTCCTCACAGGGTGCAGCCAGGGAGTGTCAAGCTGGACGCTTGCCTCAGTTATAGGGCTTGATTATAAGGCAGCAGAAAGTGCCAAGCCTTTAGAGTCTAGATAGCAATTTTCTTGTTGGAGAACCAATTAAACAAATTGTTTTGGATTGTCCTTCATAAATCATAACTTCCATAAATACTTAGGCCAGGAAATGATTTTAAGAGAGTTTATTTGAAATAAGGTAAACCAACAATTTGTACATTTCACTGAGTTAGTTAAATTTTCAACCTCTTTTCCTTAAAAATAAATGACGTCAATGTAGGTCTGCTAACAATTTTACATGAGAAGTTTTCATCACAATTCATGTAGGTATTCTGATACTCGGGTGTCATAAGTTAGAAAGAAGCCCTGACACACAGATGATCATGCATAACCATGCTTTAGCTATGCTAGGATCCCATAAAAATTCAGTGACATTCATAATTTAGGCTATATAAATTGCTGTGCCATTAAATTTTAATGCATTTTATTTAATTTATATGTGTGTGTGTGTGTGTGTGTGTGTGTGTTTGTTTAAGAAAGGAAAAGAGAGGGAGAGGGAGAGAGAGATTGAGAGATTGAGAGAGAGAAGTTCTTTCTCTTTCTATGATAATGTTATTGAAATTAAGCCTTTCTCTTTGCAAACCAACTCTTCCTTTTTTTTTTTTTTCCTCGTGACTTTCAATTCATTATTTGTGTTTAGGTATTGAGGATTCTTAAACTCAAAAATAACTGCCACTGGTGATCTTAAGTTCTTAAAATTACTCTTATTTAGTTGTACAAAAACACTGTAGTTGTAAGTTACCTGAGAAGGTTGTGTAGGTATATTTCATAAGCTTCTCTATGGAGGAAATAAATTCTCTCCTTCATATAGATGAATATTTTTAATAAAAGTAATCATGAAAATTATCTGTAATGGTTTTTGTCTTAGTTGAGGAGCAAATATTTTAGCTTTGATCTTAAATGCCTGAAATTCATCAGTTAGTTCCTTATGGAAGCATGTTCTTACAGGATAATTAAAATTGCTGTAGAATTGCACAATGGCTTCGTATACTTAATTTCAGGACTTACACTACCTGTAAAATATTGAGTAAGCAGAAATTTTGAATAAATACTAGTTTTATTGCTTCACGTTGTTCTGTTTGTCTTGAATGTTATTCCACCATTCCTTCCTTTGCAAGTTTTGATACTTTGCCCACTTATCAGCTTCAGTGAGACTTCTTCAGAGAAGACACTTGTGACTTCAGATGTGTCCAGATTCCCCTAGTATCCACTCTTGAGAACCTGTTTTCCTCACTACTGGCACTTATCACAATTATAATTAAATTCTTCTCTCTGTAACTAGTTTTCTATCTTTCCCCTGGCACATAGCCACAGTACGATTTAATATTCATATGTTTTTCTTGAGAAACTAGAAAATCCATAGTACTAAAGAAAGATCAAATAGTGTTTGTGAAACCATATTTATGTAGCAGGATATTAGAAACTTCCCGTTTCTTTTGCAGCTGAAAAATAAAGTTTTGGAATTTTAGACAGGCACAGCTGTATGTAGACTTTGTGACAGAGAGGCATTTATTGCACTAGATTCCAGTTTGTTCGGTTATCCAGTCACGGTAGGCCATCACTCGAGTGTACACTCCTGGCTTATCTGCCAGACCACAGTTATCCCCCCAGCTTACTATTCCCACGAGGAACCAGAGTTGCCTTGAGTCCTCTTGTACGAGTGGACCACCAGAGTCACCCTGAAGGAAACAGAATGATTGATTATTTAAGTATGAAGACAACTCCAAAGTATTAAGGAGTTTATTTCTATGGCTGTAGAAGAAATCATATCAATTATGACAATAAATAGAGTTAGTTTGTCATTTCTTGTTAAAATATTATACCAAATTATGCTAAAAGTATCAAAATCTCGGAAGGACATATGTTGTTTCTTCAGTAAGTGTGTGAAGATGAAAAGCATATTTCCTGGTTGCCTGCAACCTATTTCAAGCTTTACCTCCTTCAGGGAGCCTTCCCTGACTACCTGCACCTTTCCTCCCTACTGCCAGTCCTTCCACCTTTGGGCTGGGTTAGTTTATCACTGCCTGTGTCCCTACATCTTATGTATATCTCTTTCACTGCTCCTTCATTATTTCATGCAAGCACATTTGTGAACTTGTTGATCCCACAGATCAGTCCCCTCATTGTAGCAGATACACATCTCTGCAACACTCATTGCACTTATGATACCTGTTTAGTGTCTGTTTTTCTGGCTATTCTGTAAGGTCCATCAGGGAGGGGACATACCTATTCCAGGCATTGCTGTATCCAAAGCTTCTAGCCCATAGAGATGCTAATAAAATATTTGTTGAATTAGTTTTTACAAGTCTCACTTATCTTCCTATTCACAGTACCCTCCCTGCATGGTGTCTGATGCACAGTTTATCATCAAAAAGTATTCTTTTGATGAAAAAACAGAAAAAATTATATGGCAATGAGTAAAACGCTCCTTATGAAATACTAACCAGCCAACTATAATATTAAGCCAACCAACAAATATCTGTGCATACACTCTCTAGTTGGGGAGACAAACTTAGTAGATCATACATGCTGCATGGTGGGTTAAGTTTGTGAGTTCTGGGGTTAAACAACCTGGGCTTGAATCTTCCACTCGCCAGATATATTACCTTAAGTAAGCTATTTAGTAGCTCTCTGTGCTTCAATTTCCTCATCTGTAAATAATGTTTTCATGTGTTTAAATGAGTTTAACACACATAGCACTTTGAGTACTGCTTGGCATGTAGTTGGTACTAATAAACATCAGCTATTATTACCAAGTGTGCTTCTAGAACAGTTTGCTATTCATTTGACTGCTCTTAGTAGCTAGTTTTTCCATACCGACTTAATTACTGGCCTAGATGTGAAGAAGGGTCAGTATGTGACTCAACAGCTTGCATGGTAAGCATTGCATCAAGCTGCTTGGCACCTGCCTCCTTTAGGTTGTGCATCTGTGCTACAGTTAACCAGTTCTCAGCACTTTTTCAAGATTGTCTTTTTGCTGCTATTTCTTTTCTATTATGAAATTCCTGTGTAATGTCTTACCAGGAGTGGGTGAACAAGTGTTAAACGGAGAGGGACATGTAATTTTTCCTGGCGAGCTTCACTCCTTGATTGTGCAGCAGCTGAGCTGTGTTCTCTGTTCTAGCCCATAACTTTGCTGAGTGCAGGGAACTCATTGTTGTGATAGCACAGTGTCTGGTGCATGGAAAATAATCATTTTCTTTGAATGAATGAACAGAAATGAATAGGATATTCTAAGTTTTTACATAAAGTGCTATTTTTGAGGCACAAACTCTGCATTATAGTATTGCAGCTGAAAATCAGTGAGGCTTGAAGAAAACAGGGAAAGTTACATGATGAGTTATGACTTGAACTAGGCCTGGTTGGAAGAATTTGTATACGCAGAAGGCAAAGGACATCGTGAGTAAATCATGAGTAGCGCCCTTTTATATTCACTCATGTATCCATAAGTCAGGTCTAATGAATGCTCTTAGTATTCCGGAATTGACAGTGTGGAGGTGTGCTTCTTATTTGATTGGTGAATTATTTGGAAAACTAAGCAAGTTGAGAATTCTAACCCAAGTAGTTACAGGGCTATAAATAAAACAAGATACACGTAAGAGAGCAAGAAGCATCCCTTAACCACAAAGACATCTCCACTTAGAGAGAGTCAAGGGCCAGTGGGTCATTAATGGCATCTTAAAAATTGATAACCAATTCTCTTCACCTACACACAACCTGCAGCCAATAAAAATGTTTCATTTTGGGGAAAGTGCACATGGAATGGGGTCTTCACAAAAACAATGTAAGAACTACTTTTTATTCTCTTTTTTTTAAAAAAAGAAATGTGAGCCCTATTTAAATATAAAAATTATGTTCGAGGAAAGAATAAACCTGATTTTTTACTGCATACAATCCCCAGGAAAACAGTTTCAGATTCCCTAAGAAAACAGATTGATTTTTCTTCATTCCAGAAATGTAATTTTTGATACTAAATAGTTGTTACTATTAATATATGGGGTTGGGTTTCAGACATAGGAATAAAATCTATTAAAAGATATAACTACCTCAATTGTTTCGATTATTTAATTTAAAAGTTTAGTATTAAAATCTTATTCTAATTATTTTAAACAGAAATTTTCCTATTGTTTGCATTTTTATATTTGGTTGAAAATTATAGGGTAGATCTAAAAAGGTTTTTTTTTTCACCCTCATTTGTGCTGTTTTAAAATTATGGGAGCTGTTGTGACTCAAGTAACTAAGCTTTTTGTATGAATTTACTATCTTCAAAGTGCTGATATTCAGATGTTATATTTTAAAATCAATTATCTGTGAGTCTTAGATGAGTAATTAATTTATTTAAACGCTCTGAGTGGTTAAAAGGTTGAGATTAAAATTATTAATGTCAGTGATCAAAAATAGTAAAAATAGCTGAAATTTCTTTGTTGCTTAGTATATGCCTGACGTGTAAAATCCATCTTTAGTAGTACCCAGAAAGTTAGAGACTATTATTGTTATCAACCCCATTTTATGGATAAAAGAATTGGTTATAGAGGTTAAGGAATTCAAACCCAGGTCTGTCTGGTTCTTGAGCTTGGATGGTTAACCACTCTGCAATTTGGCTTCTCAGAATTAGTTTTTTATGAAAAATCAACTTTATAAAATAATTTTATCTCTAAAATCTAGATTGTAAATTTTGAGAGGATCAGAACTGTGTATTATAATTTCCCTCTATGCCTATCACAGTATCACATGCTAGTAAGTACTTATAAACTTGAATGATAACATTGATATAATTGTCTGGAACTTACCTGGCATGCATCCACTCCACCGTAAGGTAATCCAGCACATAGCATTCCAGACAAGACTGCTCCATTATAACTAAGTGGTTCATTACATACATCATTACTTATTATGGTGACCTGTCCTTGCTGTAGATCTTGAACTGTTTGGCCTGTTAAGAATAAAGCAGAAAGCAAATGGACTTCAAGATACATAAGTTAATGACTCTATGATGAATATGGTAAGGAATAAATGTACTCGTACATTATTTCTTATTCATCAAAAAAGGCTATTGAAGATGTTCTTAGGAGTCTTTTCTCAGCAAAGATACCCATAGTAGAGAAGGATAACCCCTTTACACAGATCAGTATTTCTTTTTCTTTTTTTTTTTTTTTTGCTTTAGCTTGTGATACCCCTTAGACCTTAAGAGAAAAACAAAAATCGCTATCTTAAAATTGACTAGTAGCATTTAAATTATCCACTGACTGACTTTGAATTGGTAAATTACATCTTGAATAACTTTTAATCTAGCAACAAAAGAGAAACCACTCTGGTTTCAAAGCTAAAGAACTAATGTATTTTATATTGATGTTTCCTCAAAATGGCACTGCCATTTTTGTGATTGGCAAAAATTTTATCTACTATACCAAATTACTTTGGACCATAAGAACACAACAAAATATTTTCTTGGACAATTAAATATTTTGTATTATTTGGCGAGACATCTACAGCATGAGTATAAACCCATGACAGTTGTTAATGATATTCTTTCATTTCCTGGCTGATACTTTTATTTTCCCCTTGACCCTCTTTGCTATCACATTGCCCTCATATTTATTTCCATTTTATTCATTCAATAAATAAGTCTGAGAAATTGCTTATATACACATAGAGTTTCTTGCCTGAGGTAGGATTTATTTTATCTCACAATAACTTAAATGGCTATTAACACTTTAAAGCAGTGGTTCTCAATCTGTGGGTCGCGACCCCTTTGGGGGTTGAATGACTCTTTCACAGGGGTCGCTGGGTACTCATATGTGGGCGTATCTGCATGTGGGCCTGGAGACGGATAGAGGAGTGGTGTCTCAGTTCCTAAGACCATGAAAAATATGTGTTTTCCGATGGTCTTAGGCGACCCCTGTGAAAGGTTGAGAACTGCTGCTTTAAAGGGTATTAAAACCTTTAGAGAACATGTAGACAAGTCCTCTTTTTTAAAAAAAATTTCTTTATAGGGAAGCCATTTGAGTCCTATGGAATCTCAATATCATTGAAGAACTCATGTTTCTTCATCACTTAGTTTTACATTTTTCTATTACTGTGTTTGAGAATTCCCCATAGTGCCTAGGGACATTGCTTTGCTTTGTTTTGCTGAAGAAACTCAGGAATAACTAGAGTTTAGGCTGAAGAATATAGGATGATTCTGCCCATAGAACTCGTCCTTCAGGTGTTTCCCAATTAACAAAAAATAGCAGGTACCAAGAGATTTTGTTGTTTTTGCTTCATTGTTGCTTAGACACTTACCGCCATATCTTTTAGATCCCCATCCTGTTACATAAGCCATAGAACCAGGTGAAATATTTTGGGTAGCCACTGGGAGACACACCCTGTGGATGTTTTTGGTAAAGCTGATATCTCTTTCAAGTTTCAGAACTGCAATATCATTTTCACGAGTTGCAGAATTATAATTCTTATGGGTTAAAATAGTCTTTACTCTTATTCTCTCTTTAGGAAATGTTATGGAAATACCAAAGGAGGCAATCCAGTTACGAGGATCAGAGTCACTAAAAAAAAAAATACAAAAAACAAAAAAATATATATACATGGATTTAATAGGAAATTTGTGAGAATTTCAAATATTTGGATTTTGTGTTTGTCACCCCCTACCACCATCTAGGAACAATTTGATCAACCTCTCTTGCTATATATTTCTGTATTACATAACTAGTAAACAAGTTTAGCTCTTCACTGGCACAATAAGTGATCATTTGTCTAAATAAACAAAGATTTTATTTTCTTAAATAATTTTTTAAAAATTTTCTTGAGATTATTATGCTACGTGAAATAAGTCAGACAGAAAAAGTTGAGAGCCATTTGATTTCACTGATATGTGGTATGTAAAATGAAAAACAGCAAAGGAACAAGACAAACAAATGAAGAAACAAAAACTCATAGACACAGACAATAGTGTAGTGGTTACCAGAGGGTAAGAGGGGAGGAGGGTGGCAGATCAGGGTAAAAAGGATCAAATATTTGGTGATGAAAGGAGAACTGACTCTGGGTGGTGAACACACAATGTGATATATAGATGATGTATTACAGAATTATACACCTGAAGCCTAGTAACTTTACTAACAATTTTTACCCCAATAAGCTTTAATTAAAAATAAAAATTATGCACTTGGAAAAAATTTTCAATTACAGTTGACATACAATAGTATACTTGTTTCAGGTGTACAGCATAACAATTAGACATTTATATAACTTACTTGCATGAGGTGATCACCCCAATAAACCTAGTACCCATCTGACAGTATGCATAGTTATTACAATATTATTGACTATTTTTCCATATGCTATACTTTATATCCCCATGACTATTTTGTAATTACCAATTTGTACTTCTTAATCCCTTCCCCCTTTTCACCTGTAAGAAGCATAGGAAGATTTTAGAAAACATATCTTAGGTTAGTGAACATCTTGGTGTTTTTATGTTCCAGTGAGGATAGTCTGATGCTTTGATGATAAGTAGTGTAACATAAAGCTCCTCTTTGGTTTCACTCTTTTCTATATCCCCCCTTCCAAGCAATTAAGAAGCCTGAAATAAGGTCCATTTTAGTTTTAACTCATTCCTTCCAATCCTTATTTTTTTTCCTTTCCTTGCCTTGAGCCAGAAGCTCTATTTAAATAGTAGTGATGAAAAGGGGCTCCTGTCTTATTGATGAATTATTTTTCTGAACTAAGTATGATACTTCTTGAAGATTTTGGTACATGTGTGTGTATGTATGTATGTGTGGGGAGGAAGGGGGAGAGAGAGAGCAAGAGAGAGCGAGAGAGAGCGAGAGAGAGCGAGAGAGAGCGAGAGAGAGAGAGAGAGAGAGAGAGAGAAAGAGAGAGAGAGAGAGGGCCCAGTAATATATTAAAAAAATATAGGGCATTATCTTTATGACCTAGAAATTGGGACTTTTTAGTCAAACTCCCAAAACACAAACCATAGGTTAAAAATAGATGAATTTCATGGAATCAAATTAAGTATACAATAGAAAAGTTTACCAGATGGATGAGAAACCATGAGAAAATACTTGCAATGTTTAATATCTAAAATTTTTGAAAAAACAAAACCAAAACATGCCTGTAAACAAACAATAAATGGACAGAAAAATGATTATAAAATGAGTAAAATATATTAATAGGCAATTCATGGAAGGGGAAGCTCAAACAGCTAACAGATATGGAAAGATACTCAAACTCACTAATAAGCTGAGAAATGGAAATTATAACAATAATGAGCACCTAATGTATAGTCGTAAATGACAAAAATTAAAAAAGAATAATATTGTGTTGGTGAGGAGGAGAAGTTTAAACTCCTTTGTATTACTGATTAAGATGTAAACTTTTGGAAAGAATTCTAGTGGCCTTCTGCATACATATTTCAGAGAAATTCTTGCAGGTTTATAGAGGCACATATGAAAGGGTGTGTGCATTTAGGTGTGTAGGCATGCATTCACACACTCTTTGTGGCAGTGGGAGGTTGGAGCAGCCTACTTGGGTGAAGGAATATAGTGGATTCAATAGCATACCAGATTCAAATTCCCAGGGTTGAGCCAAAACAGTAAGGAGCAATATGAGAGATTATACACATTGCTACTTATATAAGTGAAAGGCATGTACACATACATGCAAAAAAAAAAAAAAACACCAAAAAACAAAACAAAAAAACCCCTATAGGTTTTGTAGGTAATTGCATATTTAAAGACAGTAGTGTGAGGGGGAGTGAAATGGGAAAAAATATTTAATAAAATGAGAGAAAGATCTTGTATGGACTGATGAAAAATAAATATCTGTGAATTGTAGAGTTGATTAAACAAGCTTCTAAGGGTGAGTAACAATGAAATGTTGAAATGTTGAATAAAAACCAAATAACCATTTAAGAGTTTTGTTGAGTTTAGGTATAGATAGTGGGGTTAATAGAGACAATGAAAATTATGTAGACAAGAAATGCTTTTATAAGGTACAGTAGCTTGTATAAGAGTGAATGTTAGTTAAAAATTCTAAAGAAAAAAATTCTGACAATAAGCAAATACATGGATTTTCTACATTGAATTTTTTTGCTCAGCGTCTTTATAATGAATGTTCTAAAAGATATTTTTGTCTTTCTTCTCTCCCTGCCTCCCACTTTCCCTTTCCTCTATTTCGCCAAATGAATAAAAGCATGGTTTTGGAACCAGTTAGATTTAGATTTCAGTCTTGGCTATGTGGCATATTAGCAGTGTTATTTAAGGCAAGTTACTTAAAATCTCTAATTTTCAGTTTATTTAATACATAAACTGATTGATGATACCCTCTCACACAGCTGTATTGAGACATGTAAAGTATGTCAAGCACAGTGCTTGGCACAAGGTAAGCACTCAGTGAAGGTAAGTATTATTATCATGAGTTATAGTTCAACAACCCATTCCTAAGTATCTACTTTATATAAAAAGTAGGATGTCTCTGGTAATGTAAATATAAATAATTATGGTCTTGTCATTGGGCAGCTCTACACTCTAATGGAGGAGACTAACTGAGATAGGCTATCCAATCCGTGGGACTACTATAGAAGACAGACAAGCAAATTTCTGTGAGAATAAGGTGGGGTAGGGAAGAGAGCATCTGGGACAGCTTCATAGAGGAGATGACAGTTCAAGGCTCCTTTCTGTGAGGGCCTCATCACTTCTCTGTATCTTAATGTAACGCTGGTCATGCCCCAAACAAATCCTCACTGTAGGTTCTCGGTGACAATCAGGCCTACAGGGAGAGCAGAACCAACACAAGGGTCTACTTGTTGGCTTTCATGGGTCACTCATGGTAGTGAATAGAAAGATTTGCAGAGGCAAAATTCAAAGATGTTCTAAGCCTTTAAAATCATGGATTCCTTTGGTTATCATTGGTGATATTTATAACTGTGGGTTTCATATAGGGATAGCTTTTACTTAGTGTTTGGTGGTTGGACCTGAATAGGGCTTAGAATCCAGTACAGTTTCTATTACATCTTTGGTTGCACTAAGTGCTTGCTAAGTCCAGGTATTTTCGTGTCTGCTTCCCACACTCAGGGTTGATGGAAATCAATTAGTGCCATTTCTGTTCTTTGGCCTCTCAGGTGGCAATGAAGATTGAAATGTTTTTGTGAATTTCATGTCTTGGGTGTCTGGGACACAGCAATAAATCTGTCTAATTGAAATCAGAAATTTGATACTTTCAAATTTATTCATTGTGTAACAATTATTGAGTTGTACGACAGCCATAAGAAAAATTCAAAATAATTTGGGGTTTCCTAAAACTTGTGTTTAGAAACTGTATACCAGCCTTGCTAAAGTTTACCCCTTCTTAATTTAGCAAACACTTTTGTAACTTTTGTTATGAGGCAGTATCCTCAAATTAATAAAGGAATTCTTAGAAACAGTGAAGATTTTGCAGAATTGCCATAGGAAGAAATGGGGAATTGGAAGGGATATTAATATTTTAAAGAGAAGAAACAGATTGAGCAAGTGCTCTTTAAGTAGTAAAATGTAGGCAGAGTCCAGGGGAAGAGACTAATGCAATCTGGCTGGAGGTCAAGGTTCATGCTTTGAAAAATAAGTCTGAATTGATCTAAGTGGAGGGCTTTTGGGTGTGTGGTAAGGAGGATGGATTTTAGACAGTGATTATTAAAAGTCTGAGAAGAGAATAGCTATGGTCAGAGACAACATCACTTTTCTGAGTGAACTTTTCAAGTTTAGTTCCCAGCAATGTTTGGGTCTAGGATGCCCCAATAATAAGGTAGGTCTGAACCTAACAGCTTTTTGTCACACTGAAGTCTAAAGTCCTTCTACTATGAGCAGTAGGATCTTTTCTTTATGCAAATAGGATAAGTTCATGTATTCTATCCACTGGCATTTTATTACTCTAGTGTTAGCAATAGCCTTTATTCACATTGAGAAAGACTTTTCCGTAAGTTGCTTAAATTTATTTTATGTATGCTACTCCCTGCAACTGATCATTACTTTTGTGCATGTCTACTTCCAATATTAGAAGATAGGCTCCCTTAAAGTAGGGGCAGTGTTTGTTTAATTAGTGTTTATCATAGATAACACTGTGCTCATAATAGACACTCAGTAATTTTTGAAAGAATAAATTAAGGGCATAGGGCAGTCTGTGATCAGCTTTCAGCCTATTGATTAGCTTATATTATATGATATTATGTGCAAACTTCTTGCAACAGTTTATTTTGTTTACATTTAACATATAGTTGCATTAGTGTATTTAACCCTACCAGTAACACTAAGACATAGATAATGGTATGTCCCTATTCGCCCCTAATTTGGAAAAAAAAAAAAGGCTTACGGAGGTTTGATATATTTCCTAATTTTTATAGCTAGGATTTAAATTAAACATTTGGACGTATAAATCTTTGTTCTTTACTGTGATGATATACTATTACCTGAAATAGAAAAATAGGAATAAATTATAAAACTGAAGGAGAAAAAAATATTTTTGCTATCATGACTATAAGAAAATACACCTTTTTTTTTGCATCCAATTATTTCTGACAGTCTAATCATGTTTGGTCCTAGGGTTATGTATATGTCTCATATACATAACCTCATGTATATGTCTCTCCTAGTTGTTCCAGATGGGTAGGTAGCTGTGGCCTCACCTTCTGAAACAATGAGCTGCTGTCAGGATCCACGATTTACTGATCAGGATGCCTCCACAGTGGTGAATATTATTTAACTGTAGACTGACTTGCCATGGCCAGTCTCCTTCCTCAGCATCAGTGCCTCCCACGACTCTCTCGTTAGACAATGTCATTAGGTCCGAACGGGCCCCACACTCTAATGAGAAAACAGCATTAATGTATGGAGATTCATTTACTTTGGGGAGATATTGAAAGAATTTCATAATCATTTATGATTTTTCTGTCTTTTATGTATACTTCCCCAGGACATGTTAGCCTTTCCAAAAGCATGATCAATATATTATATTTTTAGAGTACTTATGTCACTACTGTTGCCTATAAACTGCCTTTTAGAGAACATTTCTGAGCTTAATTAGCATGTGCTTTCAAACTGGAACAGCTTCAGAGTTTTCTGGAATTCCTCATGAGTGGGGGATAAGATAGGTCAGTGCTGGATATACCAGCTCAGGCCACAGGTTCACTAGGAAATTTCCATCTCTCTAACCTTGCTACTCAAAGTGTGGTCTGGGGACCTGCAGTACGGGCATCCCTTAGGAGCTTGTTAGAAATATTGACGCTGTGTGGAAACAACCTAAGTGTCTATCAATGGATGAATAAATCATAACAATGTAATATATATATATACACACACACACACACACACACACAATGGAATATTATTTAGTCTTAAAAAAGAAGGGACTCCTATCATTTGCAACAACATAGATGAACTTGGAGGGTCTTGTGCTTTGTAAAATGATCCAGACAAAGACAACTATTGCATGGTATCACCTTAAAAAAAAGAAAAGTCAAATTCATAAGAAACAGAGAGTAGAAAATCATTGTCGGGATGGAGAAAATAAGGAGAGTTTGGTAAAAGGGTACAAACTTGCAGCTATAAGGTGAATAAAACCTGAGGATCTAATGTATAACATGCTGAGTATAGCTGATGACACTGTATTGTATAATTGAAATTTGCTAAAAGAGTAGAACTTAAGCGTTCTCACCCCAAAAAAACGGGGGGAGGGATGTGTTGACTAGATGGGAGGAGTCTTTTCACATTGTGTGTGTGTGTGTGTGTGTGTGTGTGTATCAAATCATGACATTGTACACTTAACTATCTCACAATTTTATTTGTTGATTATACCTCAAAGCTGAAAAAAAAAGAAATATTGACTCTCAGACCCATAATAGGGAACAAATCAGACAATGCATTTCCTCCTACCAACTTTATTGAGTAATAAATGACAAATATAATTGAATATATTTAAAGTGTACAATGTGATGACTTGATATATATGTACATTATTGAATGAACAAGGTAACACATCCATCACCTCACATAGTTAACTCGTGTGTGTGTGTGTCTGTGTGTGTGTAGTGAGAATCCTTCAGATTTACTCTCAGTGAATTTCAAAGGAATTACCTTGAGAATATTCTCAAGGGTGACAGGGTTTCTAAGTATCTATATGAGGTTTATTTAAACATCTTAAGAGAGCCCATAAGAACTCCAGTGGCCAAGGCTGAAATGGGCTGGGGTGGACTGATTACTCAATGCCTCTCAACTCCCATCATCATGATTTATTTCTTCTTGTTTAAGTCTATCAGTATAAAATTAGAGGTAAATCACCACCAACAATTTCTATTGCTGGACCAGCTCTATAGTAGGGGCACTGCTTGACTAGAACAACCATCTAAAGGCATTTTTTCCTAACAGAGTTCCCCGATAGAGGACTAAGCTTTTATTACAAATATATATGGAACTTAGGTTCCTTTGCTGTATCCTCCAAGCAAATTCTCTAGTAATTTACTTAAGCACATTTTTACTAAAAAGAAGCATGAATTAAATATATAATTAAGTTGAAAAACACTCATTGGGGTAGCATCTTGTAGCATTACTTAAGTACCTGAGATAGGCCAGCTATTGAGGTACTTTGAACTAATTTCTAACTACAATATATTTATCAGCAAAGACATAAATTGCTGTTTCTAGGGATTATATTTCTGCTATCCTAGCCTGAGAATATACAGAATAACATTGGAAAGTAGTGACTTTTCCTTTTGGTTATAGACATAAAACTGACAACACCTTTTATAATTTTTTTATTATACTTTATAGTTAACTTAAATTCACAACAAAGCAAACTACATATTCTGATGGTTATGAGAAGCCATATAATTGGTGTCACCAAACATAATTTACACATCTTCAGAAATGCCACCATAGAACTAGGTCAGGAAAAGCTTTCTAATGCTGCCAAGAAATTTTTTCATGAGGCTAAACTTGATACAGAATGGGTGGAATGCCACTACTACCTCTTCCTTTATACTAAAAGGAAGGGAAACCTGAATATTACTCCATGGACCAATGGAATCAGTAATGTCTCATGTCAAAAACAACCCATGTGAGCAAGTTAAGATTAAAGATACCACCTTAATAGACACTGCCTTGGCAAAGAGCACAAATGACTTGAACACTTTTTCTATTCTGGTAAACCATATTTACAAAATAATTTTAAAACTTACCTTGAGTAAAAATATGTACTGTATCCTGGTCGGTAATTTCTGGTGTCAAAAAAAAAAAAAGGGTGAGAGTAAGTAAGATCAATACTATTGTATTGAGTCCTTATTAGGACTATGTGTCATTTCACCATAATTTCTTAAAGTGTAGTCCTCAGACAACCATCGTCAGAATCACTTAGAGGGCTGCTAAAATACAGACTTCAGGCCCCTCATTTAGTAATGACACCACTTAACACCAGTGGCTAGAAATCTGAAATGGTCTCTTAACTCTTCCTTTCTTTTCATTTCCACATCTTATTTTTCCAGATTTTGTACCTTCTATCCTCTGACTCTCCTTTGAATTAGCCCCATCCTCCCCATTCCTTAGTTCATGCTTTCATCATTTGACACCTATACTCTTACAATAATAACCTTCAAACTGGGTTTCCTGCCTCCACTTTTGCACTTTTCAATGTATCCACCTGTACTTTACCAGATTCATTTTTCTAAAAATATATGTCAGGTCATGTCCTTCCCTGTTTTTAATCTTTAAATGAGAAATCAACTTTTTCTTCCTGGTAAGATAAATATAAACTTCTCAAACAGGCTTTCATACTCTCTAAAATCAAAACTTACTGCCAGAAGTTTCAGAGCTTGGGTATCACATCTGCTTTAAGTGTCAGAGGAGCCAAAACATCTCTTTGGAGGCAGGAAATAAAAATAACTGGCCACTGTTTGTTCCTTCTTTGAACAAGGGGGACTTGACTTGAAATCCTGACTCCCCTACATGCTGACTCTATGACTCTGGCAATTATCTAGCTTTTCTGAGTGGAAACTATAAAAGTATCTATGATACGATTGCTGTGAGGACTAAAACTGTAACGTATGAACACGAGCCGGTCAGAAAGGGCACAACCAGCCATGGAACTGGAGCAGTGTCTGGGAGGTCCTTACTGTGCTAAGCATTAACTCTTCAGTTGCAGGGCAAAGAGCTGAGAGTCCAGGGTAGGGGTGGGATGACTTGGAGGGGCCAAAGAGACAACTTTGTGGGCCTGGTGCAGTGATTGTTTACTAACAGATTTCAAATTACTTTCCCATCTTTTGGTAAACTATCTGAGTGAATACCAGTCCAGTGTGGGAGCCACCAAAATCCGTTAATCTTGAGCTTATTATGAGGGAATCATGGTTTATTAAGCCAGTAGTATATGCATGACAAAGTTGGAAGAGTGTCCTTAAAGTGTAGGGACATATTAAGTAATCCCTTAGTCATGCAACAAGTAACAATGGAGTATCTATTAGATACTAGAAACTGGGCAGTAGAAGGACAGTAGGATCAACAACATAGACTGGGTTTTGCCTTTAGGAAGCTTATAGAGTAGGATAAAGACAAACAGTACAAAAATCACAAATAATTTTGTCATTTCCACTGTGATAAATGTTATGAAGATAAATGAAGGGGTCTGTAACAAAGGTAAATAATTGAGTAATGGAAGTTACAAGAGGCTTACATTAGAAAGCAGTAATTTTGATGAGATCTGAGAGAGGCACAGGTGTGATCTAGGGAGTGTTATAACAAGGATGTATCCAAAGCCCTTGAGCCAGGAAGGAGAGACGCTTGACAGTTGAAGAAAATGAAAGTGTGGCTAGATTACAGTGAATGAGGAAGAGAGTGGTATAATAAGTGGCTGGGGGAAGTATGAACCAGATCATGCAGTGCTTTAGATGAGATGGCCATATCATTTACAGTTCAAACCAGGACACTGAGGGAGCAACATTTATAATGGTTCTTGGAAATTGATATGAACTGTGACTGTCCTGGCAAAGCAGGAAATACGATATCCCACTTACCGGTGTGTGTGTGTGGTGGGGGTAGGGGTGGTGTTTGTGGGAAGTTGTGGGAGGCTTTTAAACAAGATGGTATTTATATTGTAAAATATTTCCTTGATTACTATGTGGACAATAGATTGGAAGGGCCAAGGAGAGTAGTAGGGAGGCAAGTGCAGAAGTTAAGTAAGAAATGATATTGGCTTAGACCAGAGCGGTAACAGTAGGGATGGAAAAAAATAGACATAGATTCAAGACAGGCTGAGGGAGAGATGGTTTTCAGAGAGGAGGCAGGGATATACCTAAATCTTCTAATTTCCTTCTTTATTCTAGAAATATTTACCAAATATCTTCCAACTGCATGCTCTGTTCTAGGTGAAGTGGATCATTAATTTAATTGTTCTCTGACCTTAACCAGCTATTTATCATTTCTATAATATACCTACAAATTGAACATCTGACAACAACATCCCTCATAAGAACTATTGAGAAGGAAAATAAAGAAAATTTAGCAAATTAAAATTTACTGTATGAATGCTAAATGATTCTTTAAATTTTAGAATGTTTTATATTAAAGGATTATATATTGTATCTAACTTTATAATGTATTGTTTTTTTAAAGGGAAAAATGCTCAGTCACTCATTAAATTAAAATGTGAATTATAACTGATTAAACTGAGGGACACATTAAATAAAAAAGGTATATAAAAAATGATACTTGCGTGTTATCTCAGTTGAAGGGTTTACTTCCAAGTTTCCCAAGTTATTCATCACTTGATGTAAAATAGACTCAATTCTGTTTTTCATTGATTCACCATTGTTATTTCTAGGGAATTTAAATTTCATAACCGTATCTGCAGTCACACCACTGCCATCTTGCCTGAAAACCATAAAAATATTTTAAAAAATACATAAGTATGATAATTTTCTGCTCTTCTATTTATATACTCTTCTTGAATAAATATTAAAAATTTTATATGAGGTATTTAATTTAGAACAGATTTACGTAACAGTGTTTGCATATGTAATGATATATCACAATGCTATTCCACAAATATTTTATTGCAATGCATAGTACACTGTACCTACCATTCAGGATAACTAGCTTTGAAGTCAGAATGCCAGAGCCATTCTGCCATTTACTGTTTGACTTTGGGTAAGCTATTTGTTTCTTAATCTTTCTGTATGTAAGTCTCCTCACATTAAAATGAGTTGTTATGAAGATTATATGAATTAACATATGAAAAGCTTTTGGAAAGAATATATAGTAAATGCACTGTAAGTATTAGCTATTATTAGATTTCACAAATCTTTCCCCCCCCATCTCATTAAACAAAGTTATGAAGTGATGAATTTCCAAATGTATGTGGCTTAGAGGGTCAAGCTAAACTTCTGATACCTACACCCATTCATCTGGCTACAAAATCAAATTTTAAATTTTATAATCATATGCTAAGATTTTATCTCCATTTTAATTAACCACAGATATTCCTCTCTACTAAGGTTGATAATTCTACTAAAAGCTATAATTATTTAACATCAAGATAATTCTACTTCCTTTCGTGTAAGTTACCATGTAAATCACTTCTTCCATTGAACATTGGGTGTCTTCTTTTCTGAAAACATGCATTAAGACAAATTTGGTTTTGATGCCCTCATGTTCATTCTAGACCTCTTTCTCTAATCTCAGTTGCTAGTTCTGCCATAATATTCATTCCAGATATTAATTGAATATTTACTGAACAAATATTGTGCTAGGCACTCTTTTTAGTTTCAGAAATTAGCTATGACCAAGATTCAGTTGCCATCCTCATAGATCTGGCAGTTTCAAAGGAGAAGCAGACAATGAACAAATAATTATAACTTCTATTTCTAGTAATGTGAAAACCTGAATAATTTTAAAAACTTTCCAAATGAACAAACAGACATGCTAGATAAAAATATAATAAATTCCATTTGAATTGCAAAGCTGAGCTCACATGAAAGCAAGAGAATCTTGGAAGACCCAAAATAAAGAAGAATGTGAATATTATGCGGTAAACACTAGAATATACAACAAGCTCGGGTTTTAGCATTTACAAAAGTACTGGAGATGAGGCCTCGGACTAGTGCAAAATAGAGATGTGGACATGAGGTTTCAGAATAATGCCAGGATTTTCAACGAACTAAATCCTCAGTGAAAGCATGGATTAGAAAAGAATCTGCTTATCACCTCATAAAAGAAAAATATAGAGGTTTATCTGTCACAGAGCATCAGTGACACATTCTCTCTCCTCAGAAAAACGTTTAATCCATTTATACACTGCCATTTTCTTCATGGCATTATCCCCATAAACTTGGACAAACATGTCCCCGATTTCACTTCTACTCTTGCCAAGTTTAACAAGAAATTTAATGTTCGTTTGTTGCTCTAATTCAAACTCAGACATTCTCAGACAACGGCACAGGAAAACACGCAACAACAATAATGAACACGACTTAGCAAGACACCACCACACGTTGATACAAACACAGCTCTGACACACTGATATGCCAAGGTTATGAAACCTTACTGAGCTGTTCGTACAGTGCTGCCAGTGTAAGCGCATGGTGGCAAGTTCATGAACTTAATTGGCAGACCTCGTATATATTATATATATATCAAGAATATATATATTTTTTGATACATCAAGAAATATATATATATATATATATATATATATATATATATATCCTTGATACATGTATAACATGGGTTGAGGGAAAGACAGGAATTAAAGATGACTCACATTTCTTTCTTGAGCAACTAGGTTGAAGATGGTTCTATTACTAGAGGTGAGCAACACTAGAAGAGTAACATTTGGTGAGAGAGGGATAATGGGTTTAGGCCTGGACATACTAAAGTTGAGTTGTCTGCAAGATACACATATGAGGATATCAAGTGGATGGCTATGTATGTTTATGTCTAGAGATAAAGAGAGAGTTCTGGCTCAGAGATACAACTTTGAGAATAATCAGCATATAGGTGACAATAAATCCACTAAAAGGAGAGAATGGGAACTGAGAAGATGAGGCTTGTAGCACAGCTTGACCTTCAACAACATTTGAGGAATGTACGGAGAAAGGATAAGAACTAGCAAAGAAAATGGAGGAGGAAGTGGAGAGGTAAGAGGAAAATTAGGGTTGTGTAGGGTCATAAGAACTATAGGATGGTAATATTTCAAGGAGAATCAAAAGTTTAACAGTGCCAAATATTGTTGAGAAGCCCAGAGAACTGATAAGATTCCTTTGGAGTTTGTCATTTGGATGTCGTTTTGTTGTTGTTGTTCTTTATTATTCAATTAGATTGAGTCCAACATTATATTAGTTTCAGGTGTACAATATAGTGGTTAGATATTTATATAACTTATGCAATGATTCCACCAATAAGTCTAGTACCCACCTGGCACCATGCATGGTTGTTACAATATATTGACTATATTCCTTATGCTGTCATTGCTGAATTTGGCAAGAGCAATTAGTATTTTGTGGTGGGGTTACAAATGAGACTGAAGGGGATTGAGTGGTAAATGGGAATTGAATAAAAGGAGAGAAATACGGATAGCTTATTCAGTCCTACATGTTTTCAGAGCTTGCAGCTAATTCAGGGACTTTCACAGAAAGTACTTAGGCGAATGTGCACTGAACTAAATAAAGTGCAGTTTGGAAAATACTTTTTCATGGATTCTTCCTACTCCTCTAACCCCTCAACAAAACTTATATGAGAGCTCCATTCTCCTAGGTGCTTATTTGTGACTCTACAGAAAAAAAAAATGAATTTTCTTGTGGTGGTAGTATTTGAGAAAGAATTAAATACTCCTTTCTTTCAAAGAACTTTTGTATATTACTTGACAGATTGAGTAATGTGGGCATTTGTGGCATTTGTGGTAGGGTCAGTAAAGGGTGACTTTTACAGTTGGGAATGCTTGTCTTATCATATCGCGTGAATAGGTACACATTCAACTAAGGCAAGAATGGCAAATAGCTAATGTGCATGCTGCTACTCCCTCTATTATTCATGACAGACATGCTTGGATTTGCCACAGCATCCTTTTTCATATTATAGCATTCTAGGCAGACAAAAACCAAAAGCCACTTTTGAGGTTGGTTGTTGTGATCTTGGATGAATGTGCTCAGGACCACAGCATTGCATGACTCCAGAGGGCACTGTTCACATGGTGAATGGTATCCACTGCATTTATATGATAGGATAGCCCTTCACCCAAATCTCTCTCCCCCCTTTCCTCCTTTTCTTACCAAGAATAAAATTAATATGGTTATTTACATATTAGGTAAATAGATCATATGAGGCATGTTTTGGTTTTGTTTTGAAGTTGTTTTTTAAGCTGACCATGATACTATTTTCATAATATTGCAACAAATTGTGTGAATGTTTCATTCATTATCCATGCTGTAAAACAAAATCAAATGGGCCAAACTGCAACTAAGCTTACATATTTTTTTATATAGTTCCACTCACCTCAGTTTGACAACATGAGCTTTGATGAACTGATTTCTTAAATTTGATTCTTTGAATGTTTTAGTGATCTGTAGAAAGAAAGGAAAAAAACCTCTCTGTAATTACAGTTTTTTTAGAGAGATCTCAAACATTTTTAAGAATAATGACACTATTAATTTTATCAAAATAATTCATGTTCCTTTTTCAAAAATTCAAGACATAGTAGTATGTATTAAGAAAGCAAAATGTCATCCAAAATTTGATGATCTAGAGTTAACTGTTACTGTCATTTGTTGAACTATATTCCAATTAACTACATAGAAGGATGGGTTATAATATATTTATTAATATTGTATATTATAGGAAGCATTTTAATAAACTGATTTAACTTTAATTTTACTTGACTTTAACAGAAGTAAAAGGAACTGATATAAGGCTGAAGGAGCTGCTAAAATTTAGGTAAATGTTTCTTGTAATTATATTTTAATTCATGATTTGGTATTGCACCTACACAGGCTAGACTGGATCAAAGTTTTAAAAATCCACTTTAATTATGATATTGTTTGTTGTGTAGAAAATATTAAGAAGCAACTTAGTGAGGACTAAGATAAGTAACATAAAGCAAGTTGAATAATTGGCTGATATATCCATATACAGGGATGAAAGAGGAAGCCTATTGACAAGATTCCATATTTCACAGAGTGGGTGAAAGTATTATTGATTTATTCATTAGAATTTATCAAATGTTTGGTAGAAAATCAGTAAGCAGATGTTTGAAGAGTAGGTCGGTGGGATAGTGGAAAGGGCAATAGATGGAGAACACAGAGATAAGTTAGTTTGCTATGAGAAATTGAATGAACTTTGTAATCTTTCAGTTTCAACATCTGTAAAAAGAGAAGAGTCAAAAGTGTATTTAAAATTATCTGTATGCAGTTGATGACTGCAACTTACAGAAACTGTCTGCTTTTATTGTGCTTTACAGTTAACTTTTAGCTATTTCCCTCCAAAATTATTACTGTGTTCAAAGGGTCACGAGGCTGCTTGCTTGAACCTCACTTGAATTTTGTAACCTGTACTACTGACCCTCTTATTACATTGGACAAAAATCAAGTAAACAATGAAAAAAGAACTATTTTATATTTTCCTCCTGATTGAGGGCGACAATGCTATCTTTACATTCTGGAGTAGTCTAGAATCCTCATACCTCAGTAATATTCACTATCAATAACAACTGAAGTCAGATATGGATTATTGCGGTAAATTCTAACAAAACGAACGCCATTAAACCTGTTAATAGAACAGATCATATAAAGGGTAAAGCATTACATATAGAATGTTTATAATTGTTGCATATTCATCATCTTTAGAGGGAAAAGACCTTATTAGCTACCCATGAAGACAAAATCAAATCCCTTTCTTCTTTTCAGTATCTTCTTACTTAATAGGTATAGTTTTATTTATATTATTCATGAGCTGAAGAATAGAAATGAAGTTGTTTCTGTGATTTCAAATGACCCTCCAATTACAACTTTCTATTTTGTTTAATCAGATCTGGAAAGCTTAGTTTTTAAGAAAAAGATAAAACATATGACAAAATGGTCTATCTTTTACTAGTGTGATCTCCAAATATGTACCCTTGATTATATACAGTCATGCATTCCAAACATTTTGTGCACAAGTAGCTAAAACATGTATATTTATTTATAAGTTAGACACATGTAATACTATACTACTAACTATATACAACATAAAACATTGACAAAATTAGAAATTAAAAAGGCTGAGTTACAGAACAAACATTTAGGTATTTTATTACGTTTATTTTAAAATAATATTTTCAGTGTTAACAGTATGACTGGATAGAATTTATAAATTTTGAAACACTGTGATAAAGTGACTGAAAAGTATGATTCTAAGTTTAGTTCAAATACTTGGTTTGAAGAGCTGAAAAACTTCCCACACAATTATGTGGCTCCAAATGCATGAATTGCATCATTGGTAGAATTTAATAAGGCATGACACTGAATTGTCAGTTCCAGCTATCATGCAAAGGTTTTGTTGGAATTCAGCAAGTGACTTTCCATCTTCCCTGATGTTAATTGCTTATCCTTGCAAACAAAATGAAATGTGTTTCACATATATGTATGTGTGTATATATATTTTTCTTTTTTTTAAGAAATGTATTCAGAATCAACCAAATGTGAGAGTTAATCCGTTTTCCTAAATCTTTATGTGTGCACGTCTAAGCACTTTTACAGATAACAAACATCATTTTCAGTAAAACAAAACCCTGTTACCTAATGATGGATATGTTGCTGCACACCTATTTTCAGTCTTCTCTCTATAGTATGAGTTTTATTTAAAAAGTGGTTAATCGCACTCAATTACATTTGAAGAGACAGGTTTTGTGTGTGTATTAAGTATCTTCTAAGAAGCATATTGCTTCACATAAGGTATTGCTTCATCTGGTAATATGGCTCTGGTCAGGACTAAAAGAATGTCAGTTCTGAAATTACCTTACTGTTCATTTAATTATTACTAGGCTTACATATTAGGGTTATCTTCAAATTTCTGGTTTTTAAGTTTATGTTTTGCAGAATTATTAATTTTGATTTTGGGGAGGTTTATTGATTATTGATTGACTTGGGGGAGGTTTAGTTTACTTTTAGAACTAGGTAATGTAATTTTAAATCAATTAGAAACTGCAGATGATTGAAATCTACTGACAGCAGGTAAATGTGTACTGAAGACCAGTGAATTATACTGTTACCACCCTCCCTCTCTTCCCTCAAGGTATTTTCACACATATGCATGGGGCCAGCTGGCATAAAACCAAACAAGGTGCCAGTGTCAACCATTAGTTAAATAGTAACTC